CACTTGAGCCACAGCGCCACTTCCGGCTTTTTTCTTTTTGCTTATGTGGTGCTGAGGAATCGAACCCAGGGCCTTGAGCATGCAAGGCAAGCGCTCTACCACTGAGCCACCTTCCCAGCCCCCCCAGAAGAAACTCTGTACCTTAGACAGCATCATCTAACTTGAGTCCTTAGCCCTAGGCAACCACTTACTTATTTTCTAGATTTGCCTGTATTTCTTTCACATAGCACATTATTTTGATGTTCATCAGTGTTATATAACACGTGTCAGTACTTTATTTTTATGGTTGAATTATCTATTTTGTTGATAAAAATATACCATACTTTAAATATACAGATTTTATATAGATATATGTTTTTATCTTGGAGAAATATTTAGTAATGCCTAAAATTTTAATTTTTTCCAAAGTGACTATACTCTTGAACACCAATTGATGACAGTTCTAGTTTCTCTATGTCTCCAACACTTGTTATTGGCCTATATCATCTTATTAGAGCCATCTAAGAAGATGCAGTATCTTATTTTGATCTGCAGTTTCCTAGTGGTTAGTGATGTTGAAGATAATTTCACGTGCTTGTTGGACATGTACATATCTTATTTGCCCACCTTTTAATTTAATTATTACTCTTTTTAAGTTTTTTTTTTTTTTTTTTTTGCCAGTGTGGAGCCTGAACTCTGGACCTGGGCGTTGTCCCTTAGCTCATCAGCTCAAGGCTAGCACTCTACCACTTGAGCCACAGTGCCACTTCTGGCTTTTTCTGCTTATGTGGTACTGAGGATCGAACCCAGGGCCTTATGCATGCAAGGCAACCACTCTACCACTGAGCCACCTTCCCAGCCTGTTTTTTTTTTTTTTTTTTTTTGGTTAGTCGTGGGGCTTGAATTCAGGGCCTGGAGCTATTCCTAAGGTCTTTTGCTCAAGGCTAGCACTCTACCACTTTAAGTCACAGTACCACTTGCAGTTTTTGTTGGTTTATTGGAGATAAGAGTCTCACAGACTTTCCTGTCCAGGCTCGATTTGAACCACAATCCTTAGATCTCAGGCATGACCTACTGTCGCTTGATAGTCTTTTTAGATTTTATTAACATAAATTTATTGTACAAAGAGGTTTCATTATAATATTGACAATATACATATTTAATGTACTTTAATCAAATTCATTTGTTTTTATTTTTGTGCTGGTACTTGGGCTTAAATTCAGGGCCAGGAGCCTGTCCCTCAGCTGTGCTGTACACTTGAGCCACAGCTGTTCCTCCAGCTTTTTGGTGGTTAATTGGAGATAAGAGTCTGTCTGGGCTGGATTCAAACGGAGATCTTCAGATCTCAGCCTTTTAAGTAGCTAGGATTACAAGTGTAAGCCACCAGCACTGAAGGTCAATCCATTTATATTTATTCCTCTTCTTCATTCCTCATTTTACCATTTCTGATGGATTTCATTATGCTATTTTCTTTTTTGTGTATGTGATGGTTCCTGGCCTTAAACTCAGGGCCAAGAGTTGCGCTCTCATTGGCTTGTTTGCTCATAGATGGTGTTCTACCATTTGAACCATACATCCATATAGCATTTTGCTTGTTGAGATAACATACATCTGTAATAGTAATGCCAGTAATAGTATCCATACATCTATATAGCATTTTGCTTGTTTTCTGCTGGGCTGGCTTTAAACCTCCATCCTTCAAGCTTCAGCCTTTTTTTTTTTGGTCCGGTCGTGAGGCCTGAACTCTGGGCCTGGGCACTGACCCTCAGCTCTTTAGCTCAAAGCTAGCACTCTACCACTTGAGCCACAGCACCACTTCTGGCTTTTTTCTTTTTGCTTATGTGGTGCTGAGGAATCGAACCCAGGGCCTGAGGCATGCAAGGCAAGCGCTCTACCACTGAGCCATCTTTCCAGCCCAGCTTCAGCCTTTTGAGTAGCTAAGATTATAGGCATGAGCCACTGGTGTCCAGCTCATTATACTGTATTCATACATATACATAATCTGCTACTCAAAGGAGGGTGGTAGAAGTGTGTCCTGATAAATGATTATTTTTCAATCTTTTTGGGATTTAAGCGGCCTAATCAGTATCAAAGGATCAGCAATCACAGATAGTTTGCACAACCCATATATGTGGATGCAATTTGGGAGGCAGTTATCACACCAAGGTCATTCAGGCTGTTGTCTTCATAAGGAAGAACAGGTTTCCCATGATCAGAAGACAGTCTTCCCTTGTTGAGCCTGCCATTGTATGTCGGCTTAACTGGATTCTCCATCTCCTTACAGGCATGCCAGATTTCCTGGAGAAGCTTCACACAGCCACTCTGAAAGCCAAGAACATGGAGATCAAAGTGAAGGACTACATCGCGGCTAAGCCTCTAGAAATGAACAGTGAGGCCAAGGCCACTTCCCAGTCCTCTGAGCGGAAGACTGAGGGTAGTCATAGCCCTGCTCAGATTGAATATGCCTGAAAGACTTTGGGATAAGGATAGACAGATACTTCTAACCCTGTCTCAGTCCCTTATCACTGCTACAGAACGGGGACAAGCCACATGTATTAGAAGAAGGTGTCTGCTGTAACCACCAATGCAGGATAATTCACTAACTGGAGTCTTGATCTTATTCAGAGCCCTTATTGCTCTCTAGCAAACAGAGAAGGCAGCATTGTGGAGACATTGTCAAATTCTCAGGCTAACCATTTTGAGGTTCAGTGTTTCTCCGAGCTAGTCTGGAACAAACCTTTCACCTCAGGCCAGAAGGGGATGACTTCCATCTGCTTCTTCCAAGTAGTTTCCTTGCTGACATTCCATATCTTACCATTGGTTGTGCAGTGCTTGGATTTCCTTCCATTCTGCAAGTCGCCTGGAAGGTGTGGTTGGCTGGTCATTTCTTATGAGGGGGTCACTGGGAGTACTCTTGGTAACAGGTCTAGTGTGAATGGGTGTGAATGATACTTGGCCATATTAAGTGCCTTGTCCTCACCTTTTATCCTTAGGGACATGAAGTTTTTACCAAGAAATTTCTCCTCTTGCAGAATACCACCCCACTCAAAGCTATATTCTTTGGATCATTGCTTCTTTGCCAGCCTTAGCCATTTGCCAAGAACACTAGAAATGAGCCCTTTTAGACAACAGCTTTCTGTATCACTAGTTCCTTTGTCAGGGTCAGTGAAATGCACACAAAAAAAATCACATTTAATTTTTTAATATTTCTATTAAAAAGGCCTTGGGGGAATTGAACACTTTCTCGCCAAAGTTATTCTGATTAGAAAATACATTGTTTTGGTTCAGGCATTTTCCCAGCTACTGAATTGACTTGTCCTCAGAAGGCTAAATGCAAAAGAAATGTAGGCTGCACCCCTCCTCAGAGCTTTCAGAACTGTAGGCAAGCTGTGTGGATGAACGGATGCAGTCATGCCTCAAACTCAGTACAGTGGGAATGTGGTTTCTTCCTTTAAAAAGATTTTCCTTCCCTCTTCAGAACTGAAACAAAAGCAGGCCACACTGTTGGGATGGTACCAGATGGTACTTACTGCTTGGCCTCACTAGTTTTCCTTGTAGTCATGCACAGTCTTTTGGGAGAATGGGGATCAAATTTTAAATCCTCCTCCTTTTTTTCTGGAGTTTCTTCTTTTTTTCCTGCTTGCTATCCTGTTGTGGTGTTGAAAGGAATCTAAACCTGAGACTAATTAAACACCTCCTTGACCTTCTAGTTGTTTTTTCACTTATGTGCCAAGGAAACAATGAAAGCCCCAGTGTTTTGTCTCTTCTCGGAGTTGTTTTGCAGAGCAGAGTTGCATTGAGCAGTCTGGCATCTTTTTATCACCATTTCTTTCCCCTGGGACCTGACAGAAACCAGAGAAAATTCTCTGGGTCATGTGTGAACTTAGCGCCTGTGGTTGTGAACAGTTGTGTGTGTGAGAGTCTACACAGGTGCTAAGTAGTTGTGGCTGCCTCATCTTCTGACTTACAGTAATTGGATTCTGTACAGTTATGTCATTGTAATGATTTTGCTCTTAACTGTGATCTTTTTATCAAATGTGTGAATAAATACATAAAGATTGGTACAAAGGAGTTTTTGCCTGTGGACAAATGGTAGTGGGAAGATCTTGTGTGTTGGGTTTACCATTTCATCCTGAGTAAAGTTGAAAGGAGCACTACTTGAGTTGCCTTGGGGAAAAACCTCTTTTTTGGCAGATTATGGCTGACATATAAAGCTGGCCACTTTTTTCATGACTAGGCCCTTTCCAAATGATCATCTTGACAACTGTAAATAAACCTCCTATTTCAGTATCTTGGTCTACTAACTCATACATAACCTTGGTTGAGAAAATGGTAGTGCTTTGCAGTAGTAAAATCCAGGAGGGTCTTGGGCAGGAACCAGGTTTTAGTAGAGACCTTGGTTGAAAAGGGCAATCCAGGTTCTTTGGCAGAAAAGCCTGGTGGAAGGTCAGTTGGCTTACAGGGAGTTAGTTCTGTCAGAACCCAAATTTGTTCTAGAGGTTTAAGAGCACAGCATGAGTTTGGGGTTTGTATATAATTGTGCCCATAGGAAACACAAGGTGATCAGACAAGCATGTCTGGTGGAATTGTGTAGGCATACATGCCTATACAGTACACTCTTCACTCTAAAGTGCATAGCTTCCCCCTATTCCAGCGGACTTGTCACTGGAGGCCCTAGCCCTCCAGTGATCACCTGAAAGGAAAATAACATTGGGCTTTGAACTCAGGGTCTTGCTCAAATGATTATGTGTATGTATGCTGGTCCTGGGGCTTGAACTCAGGACCTGAGTGCTGTTTCTGAGCTTTTTTGCTCAAGGCTAGCGTTCTATCACTTGAGCCACAGCTCAAGTAGTTCATTGGAAAAGACCTCATGAACTTGCCTGCCTGGACTGGCTTCAAACTGTAATCCTCAGTTCTCAGCCTCCTGAGTAGCTAGGATTACAGGAGTGAGCCACATCCAGCTCATTCTTGTTAAGTTTTATGTATCTTACTCTTCCCCCACTTCCACTCAGTATAATGACCGGTTGATTGAGTTTTTCCTCTTTTAGTAGTTGAGTGCTGTTTCCTGAATGAAACTACAATGTCATTTTTCGCCTGAAAACTTAAGGATGTATACCACTCCCAATGACACATGGATTATTATGGAGATGAGATGGTGCTATTCTTGGGGACATCTTGAAATAATATTCTGAAAATATGTTGAAGTCTATTCAGCTTGGTCTGGGACAGAAGTCTAAAAATTCCCATAATGACCAGACATGGGTGGTACACGTCTGTAATCCTAGGTATTCAGGAAGCTGAGCTATGAGGATTATGGTTCAAAGCTACCCAGTCAGGAAAGCCCCTGAGTAACTCCAATTAACCAACAAAAAGGCAGAAATGGAGCTGTGGTCTAAGTGGCAGAGCACCAGCCTTACACAGAAAATGCTAACGGACAGCACCTATGCCTCATTTCCCCCCCACTCCCCACTCCCCCCCCCCCCCGCTTGCCATTTTCATAATGAAACTATTCTTCATGAAATGACATCTATAATTTCTAATACATTTAAAAGTCTTAAAAATTGATAGGGTGTAGATGAAAGTAATCTTAAATGTAGGAAGTAATTTCAGCAATGCACATACAACTTGGGCTGCTCATGGTCTCATCTCCTTTTATAACCTTATAGCTAGCTGTGATCTGCAAATGTACTTAGGCATTTTTTTAAAAAATAGATAACAAATGACCAAATTTACCATCTGCTTTGTGTGTGTGTAGATAACTAACAAATGACCAAATTTACCATCTACTTTGTGTGTGTGTGTGTGTGTGTGTGTGTGTGTGTGTGTGTCAGTCATGGGGCTTGAACTCTGGGCTTGGGCGCTGTCCCTCAGCCCTTCAGCTCAAGGTGAGCTCTACCGCTTGAGCCACAGTGCCACTTCTGGTTTTCTAGTGATTTATTGGAGATCAGAGTCTCATGGACTTTCCAGCCCAAGGCTGGCTTTGAACCGTGATTCTCAGATCTCAGCCTCCTGAGCAGCTTGGATTACAGGCATGAGCCACCAGCGCCCAGCTTTTATCATCTACTTTTATCTTTACATTTTATATATTAAGGCTCACAATATGCAATCCTAGGCTGGCCTTAAACTTGTTACCCTTCTGCCTCTACCATCAGAGTACCTGGATTACAGGTGATTCCTTTCCTTCCCTCCCTCTCTCCCTTCCCTTTTTGTCAGTTCATGGTGCTTGACCTCTGGGCCTGGGCACTGTCCCTCAGCTTCAGCTCAAGGTGAGCACTTACCACTTGAGCCGCAGTACCACTTCTGGTTTTCTGGTGGTTCCTTGGAGATAGGAGTCTCATGGACTTTCCTGTCCAGGCTGGCTTTGAACCGTGATTCTCAAATTTCAGCCTCCTGAGTAGCTAGGATTATAGGTCGGCACCTGGCTGGCTTGCTTCCTTGCGTGCTTGCTTCCTTCCTTGCTTCCTTCCTCCCCCCTCCTCTCTCTCTCTCCCTTTCTTTTGAACTCAGCACTTCTTGCATCAAAAAGCCTTGTTATGCTGGGTGCTGGTGGTTCATGATTGTAATCCTAGCTACTTAGGAGGCTGAGATCTGAGAATCATGGATCAAAGCCAGCTTGGACAGGAAAGTCCATGAGATACTTATCTCCAATTCACCACCAGAAAATCAAAAGGAGAACTACGGCTCAAAATGATAAGAGCACTAGCCTTGAGCAGAAAAACTCATGGACAGCACTTAGGCCCTGAATTCAAACCCCATGACCAAAAAAAAAGAAAAAAAGCCTTATTATAACCTGTCTTCCTTCAAATTAACTACCAATAGTTGGTAGCCTTATTGATAATGTAATTGATCAATACTCCATGCTATATGGAGAACTGTGAGATAAGTTAAAATTTTCACACTAATATTGGAGAGACCCACCACTTGGTGGAAGGGCTAGTGTTACAAGGTGGAACACTGGAGATCATTACAGTGGCATTCTGGGTGGCTTCCATGTGAATGACTTCATTTTATCCCATTGTGATTTAACCTGTATCTTGTTTTTGTTTTTGTTGGTCGTGGGGCCTGACCTCTGGGCCTGGACGCTGTCCCTCAGCTCTTTGCTTCCCAACCAGTTTTTAACTTAATTTTTCCCTTGGAGCCACAACCAGAGCTTGAGCTCCAGGCCTCACACTTTTACTCAGTTTTCTTGTTCACAGTTGGCACTCTATTTACTTGAGCTTCATCTCCCAACTGGTATTTTGCTGGTTATTTGGAGATGGAGTCTTGGAGGTCTTTTCTCCCTACTCTGACTTTGAATGACAGTCCTTCAGATATCTCAGCCTCTGGGGTAGCTAGGATTATGGGTTTGACAAACTAGCACCTGGCAGTTTTAACTTTTTATAGTAGATTTGTATATCTTTTATGGTAATGAATGATAAGATTTTACATATATTGTACATCTATGACACCTTTTCTCATGTTTCTAGCCAATAAAGTTCATCTGCAAATTTCTTTTCAAATTGTTATATATCTCAAAAAAAATTCACATATAAGAGGACCCACACAGTTCAAACCAATGTTGCTCACTTACAGCATGCTGAGGCATAGTGCTCAATATATTTTAACCATCTTATTTTCTCCTGATTATTTTTCTGTATATATTGTAGTCTGTGAATTATTTTCCTGAGTCCAGGGTTGTACCCCATCTGGTCTGGAAGGGAGAGACCATGCTGCCTTGCCCATGGCCTGTGTGCTGTTGCTGCTTCACTGGGTCTGCTGCCCTTCTGTCTCCATGGGCTGTATTCCACCAGCAGTTGGAGCAATAGGAGAAGAGAATATCCTCTCCCTTAGAGGATGCTCCCCAGAATGCTCTCCTCTTCTGTCTACAGCCTCATGGCCAGAATTTAGAAGACCAAATCCAGCTTGCTAGGAAGTAGAGTCGATATTTTGAACAGCCACTCACCAGTTCAAATTCAGAGGTAACTGCTGGGAAAGGAGGGGAGAATGAATAAGATCAATTTAAATGCATTTCTTCAAAGGACTGAATGCCTCTGTTCAAAGGAGCAAAAGTGCCAGTAGATACTTAATTTTCAGTAGCTATTCTCTCTCTCTTCCTCCTTCCTCCCCCCACAACCCCCTGCCCAGAAATCCTAGGTGCTATCCCTGAACTTCTCTTGCTCTAGACTAGCATTCTACCACTTGAGCCACAGTTCCACTTCTAGCTTTTTGGTAGTTTATTGGAGATAAGAGTCTCACAGACTTTCCTGCCCAGGCTGGCTTTGAACAGGGATCTTCAGATCTCAGCCTCCTGAATAGCTAAGATTACACTTATGAGCCACTGGCACCGACTTCAGTAGCTATTCTTGGAATCAGGAGATTTCAATAGATAATGTAGAATTCAGTTGGTATTTTAGAATTTTACTTGGCATTCACATCAAGCTAGTAGCTCTGAACTGGGTGAGGCTTCACACTCCATCTTTGAAAATCCTAAAGATCTTCAACTAGCTGTAGCTTATGGTGCCCCTTCCATCCTTCAGGACTTAAGGTGGTTCTCTGAGGATGCTGAAGGTAGTGTCTGGAATAGATCTCAGGCCTACCTTTTTGTTTTTGCTTTGTGCTGTCTCTATTCTTGTGTGTTTGTGTTTTTCTTTCTTATCCTCCTGCTTCTAAGTATCTTATGTCCTAGATGCTATAGGCTACTTGGGTTGCTCTTGGAGTAAAGGAATTTTCATTAAAACAATGAAGAGGAGACGAGGGCAAGAATGCAGTGAAGAATCCAGTGTATATCCTACAAGATAAGGAAGACTGAGGGAAGGGGTGGATAGGGGAGGGATGGGTGAGAATGTTGAAAAGGGTGACATTGATCAAGATATATTCATAAGCTGCTTTGTTAGGTGGCAACTCTTTTATACAATTACCTAGGGATTATAATAATTAAAAAAGCACTAGTGTTAAACACACTTCAATTCCCCTATATAAGTGACTAGTTGCCTGGTCTGTGCTTCCACTTCTAGAGGTCAAGACTCACTTGAAAAGTATGGATTACAGGAGAGGAAGAAACAGCTCTATTTTTGGACTTAATGTT